CACCTTGCAGCACACACCCTGTAAGTCAAACCCAGAGGTGTGGAGTTCCCTCTCTGGTTCCCAGTCTGGGCTCTTCAGCCCTGTCCCAGCTGCTCTGTGGCCACATGAAGCTTCTCTTTTTACTCTCCCCTGACCTCTACTTCTATGCACTTCAGGCCCTTTCCCTCTTCCCCAGAAGTCCACCATCTCCACTCCTGCCTTATTCCTTCCCTCTGCACAGCTCCCTGGTAGCTGCTCCAGGAATTCCAACTACCAGTATTTCTCCTGACCATCCAACCTGAGCCATCTATTGCGACCTGCCAGGGACACAAAGAGCAATGAAGGCACCAGCATTTCACAGAATCATAGAATGGTTTGGGTTGAAAGGAACCTTTAAAGCTCATTTACTCCAACCCCCTTGCAATGAGCAAGGACATCTTCAACAACACCAGGTTCCTCAGAGCCCCACCCAATCTGACTTTGAATGTTTCTAGTGATGGGGCATCCACAGTGTGTCATGGCAACCTGTTTCAGTGTCTCAAGACCCTCATAGTAAAAATTTTTTTCCTTACATCTAGTCTGAGAAGAGGACTGGGGCAGGCCCATGTCCTCGGGAGATCGGGGGGGCAGGGATGGCAGCAGTGGGATGTAGCACAGCTCTCTACTGCTGAAGCTCCCAGGACAACCAGAGCAGCTGAGACAAGGGTGTTCCATGGTCTTGCTGTGCTTGAGACAGCACAGGACTGCCTCAGAGGACGGCCTGCAGTGAGAACGATGGGCACCTCGTGGTGTGGGTACACATCACCGCCTGCCACATGGGTGTCACCTTTTAATATTCCCAAAGGCAGCATGACGATGGGGACAGCCCAAGAAAGCATGAAGGTCTTGTGACTGATCAGAGAGACCTCCCTCACTCCATGGCATTGCCCTCAGGGGCACAGCTAAAACACATTTGCTAAAGTTCTTGTCAGAGGGGTTGGAAAAAGCTGTTTGGCACTTGGGACGGAAACAGTCTTTGAATTTTCTCTTAACACCCTTAGGGTCCTGTCTGTAGTTTATATTTTTCCTCTTTTCCAGTGACAAGCACAGAAGCTGTTGTAAAACATGATGAGTCATAGCTGCAGGCTGCAAGGGAAAGACAAGGTAAAAGGAGAGCAGGGACAGACAAGACAGAAAGCTGCTGTCACTAACCAGCCTCCAAGTCATTGCTGTGTAGCTACCACCAGCTCCTCTGCAGTACCACATAGATGTATCTCTAGCTTTCCCTGGCTAAATCCATGGTTTGAGGAAGAACTTGAGAACAGCCATACTATGTTTTATAACTATGGTTATATCTGCCAAGAGCAGCACGAGAGTCACTGAGCCGTTCTGACCAGAAAGTACAGTCAGAACTGCCCACTAACCGTGGGAACTTGGGAGGAGTTTGTCAGGCAGCTAATCTAGAAGAAAAGCAGAACTTTGAGAAGGCCAAGACCAATATGTTTTGATCAAGATATGCTGAAACTGCCTTTACTATTGTCTTTCATGAAAACTGGCAGTGATCACCAACCCTGGCTGCTCTGCTTTGCCATATGTCCCATCGCCAGTGGTACCACAAATACGCCAGGAAAAATCTTCCTGTGACAAATGTTTCAAACACAAACATAGAAGGATAGAAATCTTTTAGGACACTGATTTGATTCACACCTAATATACTTTTCATGCAGTAATTTGAATATGAATATGATAGTATCATAGACAAAGGGCACCTGTTCTGATAGTGTAGAGTACTGAATTCCTCTCAAGTGGTGGGTCTAAGCACCTATTTAGATCCACAAGGTTGATGTAGAGCAGTACCAAGTATTTCTTGGGCTACTATTCAGTTGTGTGTGGGAAAGAGTTTTCCCAACTTAGGAAACACATTCACAGTGTCCTAAGTGTACCTACACCATGAAAAAGCTGGTGCTATTCATGGCCCTTAGAAAAGAAACCAAGACAGAGGGATCCAGCTCCCAGCACAGCAGCACAAGGACAACTTACTGGTGCTACAGAACAGTTCAACCCAAGTGACCGCTCTGCTTAATGCAGGTGAAAAACTGAATTAAGTTTTTTGCAGTCTCATATATCATATATCAGTCTCCAAACTAATCTTGCTTAAACTAGTCTTCTGCTTCACCAGAGAGATAATTACATGCTGGATTGTGCCTTGATCTGGTTCATGCTGCAACATTTATTCCCTCAGAAAACTTAATTTTCAATTAAGTGGATTTTTTGACCAAAACCAAAATGTTGTCACTTAAAAATGTCCAGCCACTTCTACGCAAAAATTTGCTCTGAGGTCTGCTTATCTCAGTGTTTCTAAGAGAGCTGACAGTTGCTGAAATATAGGCACTAGGATTGCTAGTGTTGACAACGCTTTAAAGCATCATCACATTGAGTAGCCATTAGAGGTTATATTTCATTGGAAGTAATGTAATTCAATTACCATCACTCTTTATTATGTCCCATCTCTGGAGGCTGACAACAAGCCATATCATCCATCAAATTTTAACCTGAACTTTGCATTCTGGTCTCATAGATTGCCAGTTCTCCATTATGAACGGCTTCATATTTTTAGTGTCCTTTCTAAGGGAAAAGAGGTTATCCAATTATATTCCACATCCATCTGCCTGCCTGTCTCTCCTTCCTTGGTTTTTGGACCAGTTTCAGTCAGGAGGCAAAGGTCTTCAAGAAAATTAAGTTCCTATCAGTTTTGCAACTAGTCAGAGGCATGGCAAAGAAGAGAAATCATTTGCACGTCCCACTTGGGAGTGGTAAACTATGTAATCCCTGAAAACTGACAATCTGGTGAGCATGGACAGCTAATACTGCCTCTTTCCCCATACAAGAAACACAGAAGGCTGAGGAATTTGTACTATTGCAGGGACAGAAGGTCAGGGAGACCCAGGTGTTGTCCTGTGAGACACAAACCCCTAGGAAAGCAAGCTCCTTCAGAACTGCTGTTCATGGAACAACTATTTTATAAATGCAGTGAACTTAGTAATTTACAAAGAATTTCTTGTGCATATTTCTTCAGCAAAGAATGTTTTGAGTAACTCACTCTGACAGTCAAACATATTGCAAACACAAAATATAAATTACATAGAAAAGTGATGTAACATTTGCTTTTCCAAGTCTATGCATTTGAGCTCTATCAATAAGCACATTTTCTTTCTCAAAACATCTGAAATGCAGAGTAACTAATTCACTATGTTTGTAAGTTTAAATGATTACTCTTACTGATGATTATCAACATTACTGATTCATATTACTGTTGTTGTTCTGCCTTTTTGCTGCCTAACTGAACCATAAAAGTACTCAAGACTTTGCTAGTTCTTTATCACATTCATCAGCTGCACAACTGTTGTGACTTATGACAATTTATTCCTCAAAGGCAACTTGTTTACATTTGTCATTGCATCCATTCCCTTTCTCACTCCCTCTCCATCCTTCCAAAATTTACCTCCTCCATATTGTCATTTATGCTAAATCACTTTTCTTTGGCCTTTCCCACTCACTGGCTCTCACCAACTCTATAGCTACCCCTCTCCCATGTCCACACATCCTCCATCCCAGACTTGCCCCTCATTCTACTACCTCTTTTTCTGCCTCCCACATACACTGTCACTATCTGTATTTTCTGGCTTCCTCCCCTAGCCTACTCTTTGCTCAGAAGATAGTTCCCTTCCCCTCACTCACACAAAACTTTACTAGAAAGAGATCAGTGAGCTTGGAAACCCTTATAAAAACACTTCTGCTGGACTTTCCTGGTTTCATTTCCTTATACTCCTCCATGGATCACATTTACAGAGGCTGAATTTCCCTCTTACTCCTTCTGTTCCACCTGCCCCCTCACCACCAAAATCTCATGTTTTCTCCCACTCTCACTGAGGCCCCAACCTTTTCCCAGTTAGCGCTGCTCCCTGTGGCACAGTTATCTTCAGCTACACCCAAAGCCATTCTCTATCACTTTAACTTCTTTTTGAGTATTTCTCTGCAAACGTTTACTCCATCAGTCGACCACTGTCACCTTCTCCTCCGCTTCTAATGACCCTCTGTGAATGCATAGCTTCACTTTGCTTTAGACATTTGCTTACCCTTCAATCCTTCCGTCCTCTTCCTCAAAGACAACTGCCCCTCTAGCCCTTGTAAACTTTGGAGGTTGATATTTTACTGCTAGAAGAGGTTGCCTTCTACCGTGTGGGGAGTTACCTGATCCATTTCAGATGCCCCCTGCCCACAATCTAGCCAGAGTGTGAACTTCAGCCTACATCAGAAGTCTCGAGCATTCCCAGGTAAGGGTCACATCATACACACACACACACACATACACACTTTCTCCTCTGCTGGAAGACAGCCCATGCTGCTGAGAACAGTCACCCACTACAGCTGCAGGTAGGCTGGCAAACTCCCACGTCTGAAATACCAAGTTTTACTCCTCCCTCACACCCATTACTCACTCCTGCTGCCATCCCTTAGGGAGCACCAGCAGAACATTCAGGACAAGACCACCAAGCCTCTTACCCTCATTCTCATACTTTTTATAACTTTTGTCACACTTCTGTTTCTCATATTCTCATCCACATATGCCGCCCTTTCTCTCACGCTCTACCTTATTTTGTCAATTCCTAGAAAGCTCTCTGCCTACGCACAAAAGGAAATCACTTTGTCTCAGTTTAAGTCTCTACTGAAAGGACACATTCACAAATCTTACAGTACAACCTTTAGTCTTCAATGCCCAGCTCTGGCCAGCAGTCTTTATTGCTTGTATCTGAATTGCCATTTATCTGCGTTATTACTCTTTCCTAATTTTGTCACCTTTTCCCTCTCCCATATTCATTATGTCACCCACAGGGTCTAGTTTCAAATTAGACTGCAAGATATTTGGAGCAGAAAAAGTGCTCATACAGCATAAATACTTAGTGCAACAGGAGGTTGTAGAAGCTAGCCTTTCCCCCAGAGAATAAAAGTATCATAAGTGCCCAAAGCTAGTGGGAACTTACCGAGCCGTACAGTTCCCCTTTCTCATTCATTCCAAGGTAAAGTCCACTGTCGACTCCTCGGATGCTGACCAAGCCCACTGCTATACTGATAAATTCCAGTATACCTATAAAATGCAGGGGGAAAAAACAAACAATGTATATATTGTTTCCATTGAAAGATTTTTTTTTTCAGATGTGACTGATCCCTGAGTGTCAAGCAGCTATTTTTAAGGCTGTTTTCCCATTTTCTGTGTTGTTTAGAGGAAGATGAGGAAAAAAATGAATATGCAATACTTAACATCCTTTGAGTGCCTGTTATAATGATAAATTGCAGGCAGCATTGACACATCAAATTAAAAGATTACTCTAAATCTTTCTCATCCTTTCCAAACACAAGCTCATCTATACTCTGATTTGCACAACAGATAGTACATTCAGAGAAAAAAAAAAAGTTTTTAGAGTGCCCAAATTAGCAGAAGCAAGGAACCTATGAAATTTGTCTTGAAAAATAAATTCTGAAAAAAATACAATTTAATCAGAATTGTGAGATAAAACAATGTTACACACGGAACCTAAAGATCTACTTCCAGCCATCAGTGAATCAGGAATACAGGGAAAGATTTACTCACAGTATGATCTTCCAGAGGCTTGAGAAATGACAGTCCTTAGTATATTCCACTTCCATGAATTTCTGTTTAGATAGTAACCATTCTCCCTGATATATTATTTATTAATCTCAAATTCAAAATTTAAAATATCCTTAACCTAAGTAATAGAGTATACATGATTAACTCTTCCCATGCACAAAACAGCAAGCTCACACAGACATTTGTGCACACGGAAATAATATTTTGCCAAGAAGCACTGCTTCCGCAAAGCTCCCAGGTTCAGCATCCACATGCACAGTACAGCAAGTATCTGTATTAAGTATTGGCTCATCTGGTTCTAGGGGTTTGGGGATTTTGTGGCAGCCTTCCCTGCAAATTGCTTTCCTCTTCAATGAGGATGCTACCAGCCAAACCTTGCATAAACCTAGAATTCTTGTTTAAAAAATGGAAACTGCTTTTTATTTGGGAGTGCTCATGTTAGACAATAATGATCTCACAGGAATTATCCAGCAGCACTCAGAAGCATGCTGCTATGTTACTTTCTGAGTCATAAAATAAAGCACAGAGTAGCATTTTCAATATATTTTGTGAATTTTCATGCCTAAGCACATCATATAACTATTTTTAAAGCTCATCAGAAACTATATGTACATGAAATAATAAAATAACAGTATAGTATGTGTTGAGCCTCATGTGGCCAATAAAAAAGCACTTTCATGGATTTTTTTTAACAATTAATTTGGCATCTCCCACAAAATAGTTGAGCACTAATCAATAACAGGCATGAATCACATAAATCTAACATGGCACAAGTTGAAGCCAATAGGGAAAATTTATAGCCAAGCTAATGTAAAGATGAAAAGTATTCCCTGTAAGGGACTATTGATCATTACCTTATATATTATTCAGTACTACAAACACCATAGTCTTACTGTTTTGATAACCCTGTTTTAAGGCCTGGGCATCTTAAACCATTCTCTACATATGCACAAATAAAAAATACTTGGGGGAAATATTTAGTAATTGTGGATTCTTTTAAGTAATATAAAGTGGCAGCATGTGGTTTATCTGGTATATGTAGTATCTCAGATACAATCGAACCATTGAAACAACTTAAACATTCTCATTATATCTGGACATGTAAAACTTCCAGATTTGTTACTAAGGCTTTTTCTATAAAGCCTTTACCAAAATATCATGTTACTTGATACATGTTACCAAGCAATTTTAACTGAGGTTACATCTTACATCAAGTGTGTATTATACAGTACTATAACTAAGTTAGTGAGTCTGGCATCTTTCACAACAGTCTAAATGCAGTGTTTAATTGCTCTCCTCATTTCAAATATCTGGGTGCACACTGCTTAGTGCATAAAAAGAATAAAAAAGCACTGTCACATCCTATTGTAAGTGCAGAAGATGAATTTAAGGTACTTGGCTAAGAGCATCCACATATTTGAGGTCAGAATAGAGACTTCTTCATTTGAAATATTCAAAAGCCTATTCACAGCAAGTTTTATGTGCCATATTAAGTCCTTCAAGAGATTATCTGGGGCTAAGCATACAGTCTTACAGAAGTCTTGTCAGTTTAAGGATTTCACGATTTGCCCCTACACTTCTGTGAATATTTTCACTGTATACTTTCTGTAATATAGTACTTAGGACCTGAACCAGATATTAAAATAGATAATCCTCTTCAAAATGAGGCTGGATCAAATGGAAATCAGGACATCTACAAACTTTAAAAGCTAGGGTCCTATTTATAGCGAAAAATGGGGAAGGGAAGCTGTGAGGAAATAACTGTCTCAGTACATGGGGTACCGAATTTCTCTTCACCAGACACTGAGCATTTTCTTTAATGAAACCACTTCAGTGTAAAGACCCATTCTTTCACAAGAAGCTTAGGAAGAAAGTTTTGGGGAAGTTATTTATTCCCTTTATGCCCTTCATGCACCTTCTTCTACATGATCCAACTTTGACTGTGCTGAATGGCAGCAGGACACCAGTCTGACATAAAGGCTGGTCATGCTCTCCTGTCAGGCTCACAAGTGAGAGGCGGTGGATTGTTCACAAACGTGAAATTTTAACTTTCATCTAGCTTAGCTCTGGTGAAGAACAGGCCTACAGAAAAATTTCCTTTGGCTTTTAAGCAATGGACACCTCTGCAACTACACGGTCTTTTTGTTGTTGCCACTTTGCCCTTTGCACATTTTTGCCTTTGGCTACATATAGGTTTTCTTTGTATTGATGGGTTGAAGCAGTTTAGCTTCCCCTTAGCCCTCTAGCACACTGAAGACGACAACGAAGACGGTAAACAAGTATCTCTGCCAGCCAGTTCTTTGTAGGGCTTCCAAAGGAATCGAAGCGCAGGGGAGGGTGAAGGACTGCCCAGACCCTGCTCTCCCCGGGCTGCTGCGCGTCCAACGATAGCCCAGCTCGGGAAGGGCAGTGGGGCGAGGGAAGCGGAGCCCTTCGTGGCTAAGAAGCCGGCGGGAGAACAGCCCGGTGACGGGGCGAGGGAAGGAACTTCCCCGGCTCCCCTCCGCCTCCGGCGCCCCCCTCCCTCGCTCCCGGCCGCCCGCCGAGGCTGCAGCGCGGGGCTGCGGGAGAGGCGCGGGGCTGAGCGCTCCGCCGGGATGCGTCCCGCCTGTCGCAGCTGTCACCGCTCCGTCCGCTCCCCCACATGATGCCAATTAAAAGACGGGAGCGCAGACAGACGCAGCCCCCCCCAGGCAGCAGGGCCCTGCTTCAGTTTCAGGCTCTTATAGCCCCCTTGCCCGCTCCCCCTTATCCCCTCCCCTTGCAACGCTCAGTAGCGGGGGAGACTGTCGAGGCCGCTCGGCGCCCTTCCCTCCCCCTAAAACCTGGCCCACGATTCCCAGTCCCGGGGGCCAGAGCCCTCCCCGCACGCATGGCCCTCCTCCCGCCCCGTGCTGTCTCCGGGGAGAGCCAGCAGACCGGGGCGGGGGGCAGGCCCGCCCCGCCGCATACAGCAGCAGAAGAGGCGGGCAGCCGCAGGGACCCCCCGTCCGTAGCCGCCCCCGCGCCCTCCCGGCGCTGAACCCGCCCCGCCAGCCCAGCGCCGGAGCAGGCAGGGCGGGCCGGGAAGGCGGGCGGCTGCGCGGCTCTCGCAGATGATGAACGCAGCGGTTCCTTGTAGCAGCAGGTCCCGGGGAGCGGAGGTCACCTGCTGACAAGCTTTTTTTTTTTTCCTTTTCCTGCATGCTCCTATTTTTTTAATGCTGTGCATGCAGTACTTGTGCTGACGCACAGAGGCACGCCTCTCCGGTGTTACAGAGTTCCTGAATTTACAATGACTCTAGTGTCTAGCCAATGCCCTAGACTAAAGGAGACTGCATCAAAAAAAAATTTCTTTTGTGACCCAGGTGAGATAAGGCTTTGATCACCTGAGATCGCATTACGGGGGGGACCGAGCCGGGCTCTGCCGGGGAGCATTTCTTTTAGAGATGGACATCTTGCTGCAGGAATTGCGAAATGCCAGGGCTCCCAGAACCGGGCGAGTATAGACACACAATATGGCTCGGTTTACTGTATGCAATAGGCACACATCCAACATAGCATCACAAAAGAATTACTCTTATCTGATGTCTCTCCAGAGGTGTGTGCGTGTGTGTGTGCGGGGAGGGGGATTCCCACAGGGCAGAGCCCAGAGAGGAGTTTACGCGCAGCCCCCGATGTTTTCTCTTTGTCCTCCTATTCCTGAAGGAAAACTTCCTTCTGACGCGTACCCCCACATTCACACACGCGCGCGCAGGTTTCCCTGCACACGCTCGGAGGAGACCATGTAAACCCCTTCTCCCTCGGGCAGCTCCTGAGATGGGATGCAGAGCTCCCTAGGATCATCACAAGAGTTTACAATCACCAAAACCCAAATAGCATCTGCTATTCGGTGACCACCCCGCAAACACAACGGCAATCTCACGGCACCGATACAAAAGCACCGAGATCGTCTTCCCTCCCCCAGAGAAGCCGAGAGCCCCAACACATCCCATGGGTTCACCGTGCCCGCTCTGCCCGACCCTGGAATGAGCTGGGGCATCACCGGTGCACTCCATGGGAGAAGAGTTATCACTGGGGCGCGTCCTCCAGGGGGAGAGGGAGATCAAACCGACAAGGACACAAAAAAAAAAAAAAATCAATCTATTTAAAGCCAAGGCGCTGCAAGGGATGGAAGAGCTGCCCCTCGGTATTGTCAGCTTCCTACAACTGCGGCTGGATAGCCATTTTTAAAAATAGACGCCGCGAGTAATGTGGTCACCGCCGCCTTGCGAAGGGGAGCAGCTGGCGGCCCTCCTCTGGGGGCGGCGGGGCCCCGCGGGCAGCCAGCCCCGCACCGCCCCGGCTGCCGGTGCGCAGCGCCCTACACCTGCTGCGGCCCTACACCGCGCCTCCCTCGCCGGCTCCGCGCAGCGCCGCGCCCGCTGCTCTGTGCCCGCACCGCAGTGAGGTAGGGGAACCTGCAGCCCTAGCTCAGCAGCCACGCACGGCATCTGCATGTGCCAAGAAAAACGCCTAGATGCGAAAGCCCCCCCATTCCCCTCACTCCGCGGCTGCCTGAAACACTTTCCGCACTTTTTCTCGCCAGCAAGCTTGGATGTTGCCCCCCAGGGAGAGCCGCGACGCTCCCACTCGCCCTGCACCCACCCCCGTGGCTCCCGGGCGGGTGGGCGGCGTGGGAGGGAGGCAGAGCCCGTAAGCAGCATGAGAGTGTCAGGGAGCAGCGGATGGCAGGGGATGGAGGATGAACCTGCGACCATGCGAGAGCCTCAGTCCTCTCTTCCCCCGCCCCCCCCCTTCCCTTCCGAGCCCTTTGGAGATCATCTCCTACAACACCAGCATTATCTAAAAAGCTTCACAAAGCAATAAAATACAGCTTAGATATCGTTCAACATCTGGCATTAAAATACAAAGAGAGAAAAAAATCACCACAGGACTTTGTTTTTACGACCGTATTTAAGTGCTGTCAGGTTAGTTCACTCACAAGTTAACTCCTTCCAACAGCTGGGAGCGTGGTGAGCTAACCTGGCGTATTTTCCTCACCCCTCCTTAAGAAAAAAAACCAAAGAATCAGCTCATCCAGGCTGTTTTAGTTACTTTCATGCATTCAATCTGCCAAGCCTTTAACAGACTCCTTGGCAGCAGGGAAGCTCCAGGCCCACTGGACTCGCGTGTGCATGTGCATGTGTGGATGTGTGCGTGTGTGCATGCACAGGCTCTCCGGAGCGGCCGGGGCCATCAGCCCCTTCAACCCTCGCTGCTGAGTCACAGTGTCCCTGGAAAGGAAATCCATGGAATGCTGTTTCAAATTCGCTGCCAGCCTGACACGCCACACAGCTTGGGAAAGGCAGATTTTGGCGCAGGATTCCCGGCGGGTTCCGGACCCCACCTGCGCTCCCTCCTTCCCGGGGCGCCGGCCACCGGCAACGCCGCACAGCTGCGGGTGCGGGCTCCGGCGGGCGGCCGAGCACCGCTGCGGGTTGGCGGGCGCTGCCGGTGAATCCTCGCCGAGCAGCGAACCAGACTGGGTGTGCAGTTCGGGTAGTTACTAGGGCAGGTAATCGGCAGAGAAAACGAAAGAAAAGCCCTCGTCAATTTGCGTATAGGACGAGAGCCACTCCCTCCAGGAAACTCGGTGAATTTTAAATTGTCGTGGTTAATGATTAAAAACCCTTTAAACTCGCGAAATCAAATCATTCAGCAGAAACGTCCCGAGCAAAAATTCCACCACCGCCACCACCACCTCCCAGTACGCGTCTGCTCTTAAGCAGAACTTGAGGCTACACAAACATCGCTACTAAACACCCGTCGACTTCGGCGAGGGCTCCTGCTCCGCCGCGGTGGTGCCGCTCGTGTACATCTGCACCCCCGGACACACTCATTTTTCCCCTCGGCGGATCAGCCATCAGCACAAACCCCCCTTCCCCCCCGCCTCGAACCCCCCCACCGTCCCCCCGCCCGCAGTTCTGCCCCATTATTTCATCACATGACCACTAAAGGGTTAAGGATAATACCTACCAAATCTGCTGTGGTCTTGCCTGGTTCCCTGGATAGTACCATTGGGGAAGATTTCTAAATGAAATCCAGTCCTGCAGTATAGCTGTCTCCGCCTGAGGATCCCCTTTAAATGGTCCAAGTCCGTGACCGCAGGCCCCCTGGGTAGCCCACCTGCCTCAGACTGACCCAGGTGGTCACTTAACAAAACCGGACTATCCACCGGCAAAACGGGCACATTCCCAAAGGGTACTGCATCCTGCACACCGAAATAGTTCCCAACTTCACCTAAGGGAGCCATCAGAAGATTCTGCTTTTAGAGAATGAGAATAAACAATAATGATGGTGCCAAACCCAGGAGATATAAGATTAGGTATATTCCACTCCTCTCCCCTCCCTAGCGCAGTTACAGAGAAAATGTTCTTTCTTCAATCCATTAAATGCATAAATAAAAGTAATATTCTGTTTTGACTGGTACAGGTTCAAGGTCAAACCAGTTAGTCTAAGAAACCACCACTTTATACTCACACACTGACATATTTATAAACATATAGATGTGTATATCTATATAAATGCATATATCCCCAGCTCTTAGCAAGCAATACGGTCTTCAGCCCATCCAACTGTAATAAAGAAAAAAATCCGTAGTTTCTCCATTTGGTTTAAGATAAGAATGATCATAGCAACTTAAATACCTAGGCGTTATAGGGATTTTTTTTTTTTTTTAAGATGCACAGGCTACGTCAGGATTTATGGATTCTGATTCCAGAAAGGCATGCGCTGTTTTTACTCTATAACAGACTGCATACATCAGCATGAATCCTGCAAAGGGGGAGGGGGGAAATCTCACGTTGTTGGCTGAGATAAATCCAAAAAAAAAAAAAAAAAAAAAAAAAAAAAAAAGGAAAAAAGAAAAAAAGAAAAAAAAAACTTTTGACGTCCAAATCTATTATCCAGAATTCTCAGGAGGCTCAGCAGATGTCCACTGGTTTAGGATTATTGACGATCCACAAGCAAAGCAGCAACATACAAGTGCTTGTGTCTTTCTTGGCTGGCTCGAAACAGGTGTTGCTTCTGCAGGGCTCCCTGTGAAATGTTGTACTCCAGCACTGAGCTGCAGCTCTTGACTGTGGATCTCCATCCAGCACGCAGAGTGGCGCAGGAAGAGGCATTGGGCTGGGTTTAAGGTAGTCCTGATTGCTGCTGGAAGGATTCTCCGAGGTCCTAGCGCTCAGCTCTACCTGCTGCAATACCGAGCCGCTTCCAGCGCTCGGCACGGCGCGGAGCGGCTCTTGCCGCTCTGCGGCAGCGCGGCGCTCGCCGGCAAATAAATAAATAAGTGGGCGAAACTTTGGGGGAGGAATAAAGCGACGCGATGCTAAATATACCGCGCCCGCCCGCTGCGGGGAGCGGGCTCCTCGGGAGATGCCCGCATAGCCCGAGTCCCCCTGACATTGGCGGGGGGAGCGGGGCGGGCAGAGCTCTGCCTGCCCAGCCCGAGCCCAGCCCGGGGCCCGGCCCCGCCGCAGGGGAGGCGGAGGCGAGGCCGCCCCGCACCGCACCGCAGCCCCGGCCCGCTCTGCCGCAGGTAACCGGGCTGCCGCTGTCCCAGGCGGGGTTCAAACTCAGCCCCGGCGGGTTGCGTCAAGTTCGGGAGCTGGGGCTGGTCTGGGGGGTCCTTATCGCCCGCGCCGCATTTCTTGCCTTCTCCACCCTGGCCCCCCGCCCCGGCAGCCCGCAGCGCTCTCGCCTTGCCCTTGCGCTGCCGGAGGGGCAGTTTCGGGGATGCCGGTGCGGGTAAGCGCCAGGGCCCTGCCACCGTCCGGAGCGCTCCGGGGGCGAACCGGGGCTCCCCGCGCCCGGGCTTGGCCCCAGTATTTAAGAACCCGGTGAAGGGAGGGAAGAGACGGCCAGGAGGTGGCATGGGGTGAAGCGGGGGTGCGATGCGAAGTATGCGTTCTCCTTTCACCCACCCATCCACCCCCCCCCCCCAAAAAAAAAAAAAAGTTATTTTAAAGTGTCGCGAGAGACCTGGCGAGGGGAGAGAGGGTTTCTGTTTCTTCTTATGATGTTGAGGACTGGTGCTATTGTGGCTTTGCCCTTAAAAAACTGCTGTGTTAACCAGCAACGGGACAGAGGGTCTCCTGCCTTTGCAGAAGAATTCTTGAGCAGAGCTCAAGGACCGAGCACAATGCAGAACCTTGCAAGAGAGAGAGGACTCTCCGGCAGTCCCTTGAATTGAGTGCAAAACCTGAACATAGGCTCTTCTGGGAATGCTGGGGAGAGAAAGAAACAGGGAGAAAAGGAGAAGAAACTTAATATCTTGGGGGCTGAGGGGAGAGATTGCCTGGTGTGAATGATGATGTGCACTGCTGAGGTAGTGGGGTTCAGGAAGGTCATTGGTGGAGCCTGGAAACAGAATTGTAGAGAAGGAGAATTTTGCTAGGGGCTTAATTAAAAATAACCGAATCTGCACGTCCTCCTGCTCTATGGGCATGCAGTGGAGGGGGCAGCTGTCCTTGCCTTCCCCACCACAAAAGCTAGCAGTCCAGCTCTGACTGGTGCAGCTTTTCTGCATCCCCCCACTTGCCAGTGTGACTAAACGTAAGAGGAGGGAGAGAGACTAGTTTCCACATCTAGGGGGGAAACTGCAGGGAAAAGCTGTGTCCTAAATCCCCACGGACCTTTATGGAACTGACACATGCCAATGGCGCATGAGCCACCCCCTTTTATTTGACTCCGTCAGTCTTTATTGCGAGTTGAAGGACGGGATATAGAAGCTTCAGAGCAGGGTCACATCACTCCAGTTCTGTACAAACCCACAAAAAGAAACAGTTGCTGCATGTCAGTCCATGCATTTTGATGTGCAAGAGCAGAAAAACCCCTAACAACAAAGCAGGAAAGTCATTGCTCTCTGGCAAATAGTTCCAAAGCATTTACCCTGTATATCGGGTTTAAGGACACTGCTCTCACACACACACTGCTTATAGCAGCGTGAACAACTGCAGAATGACTTGGGAAAAACTGCAGAACTCACCATGTCAAAAATCATTATTCTTTATCAACTCGATCATGGCAGTACCCAGAGGCCCCATTCAGGGCTCACAGTCCCATTGTGTCGGATACTGTAGACACATGTAATAAGAGAGATGGTCTATGCCCAAGGAGCTTATGATCTTAACCCATGATGAAAGACAACAGGTGTATAGTACAGACCCATGGGGGAAGGATAAGGGGAAAACAGCCTTGAGAATAAAAAGCAACAGGCCTGGCCAGTGACAAGTGTTTGGTGTCAGAAGAAGGTTTTAAGGAGATTTGAAGGAGAACAATAAAGGAGCTTTATGGTTATTAATGGGGAGATTTTTTTCAAGCATAATGGCTAACTTGGAAGAGGACATAAAATTGCTTATTAGGAAATTGGACTGCTGAAAAGTGAAGGTTTGTGCCACTGGCAGAGAGAATATTGCCGAGAGACCAAAGAGCCTGGTATCTGGTGTGCTCTCAGTCCAGAAGCAACAGGGAAAGAGGCTCCCAGCAACTTTCCAATGCTTTAAAATTTACATTTCTAGTTCCAGTGAAGAGTATTATGTGGTTTTTTTTTTTTTCTCTAGTTCAGGCTTCAGTATTTTCCATCTTGTACTTCACACCAGCATACCTTATGAAAAATATCTGACAGTAAAGAAGAAAGTATTGGTATAGTTGCCTTTTTTTTTTAGAGAACTTAAATGAAAGCCCATAGGTTATTTGCTATAGGAAGTTTAATGTTATAAAAGTGTTATCTAAGTTGAGGCTTTGATGTCTGAATTACTCATAAGTATCAAAGCCACACATGAATTATGCAGGACATCCCCAAAATTATACCCATCTGTGAGTAGGTGGTGTTCCAACCCTGCTTCACATAAAATGTATGTGTGATGTGTAATGTCAAACTTACTCCTTACAGAAGTTTGGCATTGCTGATAGCTGGGGCTGTATTAAAAACCTACACTTTATCCCCGAGACACTGAGGCAGGAACATCCCTAGCTCCCCTCTACTCGAGATTCACACCCACTTCCCTTATACCCTCTTGGAATTAAAGACTGCATCTGCCACAGTGAGTCATCAAGAGCTTACTCATCAGCTTTATGCAGGATTTTAACTCCTGAGAGCAGAGTTGGTCAGAAGGATCCTCCATGTCTTGAGGAGTTCCTGGCACACGGTGTCCTCACATGTACCACACTAATGTGACACCTCTGCCAAGTTTTAGATATTACAACTTTTTTTAAATAAAACTGTTTCACCTGTAGTCTGCCAACCAGCTCACTTTTCAATATCTTTTTACATATCAATTTTTGCCTGTCATTTAAAAAGTAAATTAGCTTGCCTGTTTTTTCTTGGTTTATGTTGGTTTTTTTTTTTTCATTCCTCCAAATTGCATAATTTCACTGAGAGTAAAGAATCTTATTCTGGACCTTTTATGTATCTAACTAATTGATTTCTCGACCTTGCAGATAGACAGCTGAAAAATTACATTATTAAAAAGAGAGGTGTAACACCTTTCCCATAAAATGCATGGCATTTGCCATTTTTACTAAAATGTCTTGAGGCAGAAAACTTTTAAAAGCTTTCTACAAATGGACAAAGACATAAAAATATAAAAAGTAATGCTATTTTCAGTTTTCTTGACAAATAAGGATTTTTAGGGTATTTTGAAACATGATATAAACCTGGATATAAGAGTATTAAGTAATCTCATTTCACTTGAGGCTGCTAGAACGGAGACTTCAAGATATAAACTACTTGTTCTTTAACATAGATAAATAGGAGCAATTTTAGGGCACAAATCATCTGACCTATTCCAGGCGTCTACTTTAGGATGACATGACTCATGCTCTAAAGATGCTTAGTTCTTCCTCGTGTATGAAGGGAGCCTATATTAGATGTAGACTTCTACATGACAGAGGCCTAGATAGGACTGGATGGATCCCACCTGCTGCATTATACATGTGATTGATAATTTCCCCAGCATAGGTGGTGAGGGCACCAAACTATTAATACAGCTGCACAAATTCACACTCCAAAGAAAACTCAAGTCACCTCAGCAATGAAAAATTAGTGAAGGTTATGATTATGAAACATTAGATTGCCTGGAAATAAACACAATGTTTGTGAAAATTAAAAAAACCCCAAACAACAAAAAACCCCAAATAAACAAAAAAACCACGGTGTGAGTCAGGTTAATTGGATTAACATAAGAAATGCCTACAAGTTTAGAAAACTTGAGCTAGAGGAATGTATTTGCTTTCTCACTGCAGCGACTGTAGAAAAAAATAGCAGTATTTATTACCAAAAAGATTCCTATAAGAATTCCAGAAGACAACAGAAAAGGGCTTCCTCCCAGTTTATCAAATTTTCACACTAGAGGAGTGTAAAATATGCAGTTTAGATGGAAAACTCCAAGAAAACATCAGTGTCAATGTCACCATGTAATACACAGTGACCATGGGATATCTGACATGAATTTTTCATGGTGTTATGGTATTTTGCATTGCAGAGGAATTAGTGAATTCACATAAATAAGCACTGGCAGAATATGATGATCCTAGGGAGGGAGTTATCAGGGTCCATGTTCTAAGATACCTTAATTTAAGCACAAAAGTAAAAATATCACTATCAGTCAGACACAGTCGAGTGCACTGACACGGATGTCAATATAATGTTTCGGAATATGTGTCCTTTTAGGTGCTACTTGAAGGTATATAGGGTGATGTACACATGAAAGCTGCCAAATATGTTTGAAATTTCTGTGATGTGTTTATTTGTACATGGCTGGTATCTGCTGTTTTTAGTAATAAATTGATTTGCCATGATGTTGCAAATCCCGATAGGTCAAGAGCCAAAGTGCCACTGATTGGAAGGAGAAAAGGGGAGGTAATCAGAGTTGCCACATGTGCAGGTGACTGCAGAGGCCTCCACATGGCAATCATTTTCTGCAGCATGGCTCACAGAACTGCTCACCGTGAGAACATGTTTGTCACTTCCAGTGCTTTGCCTTGTGCACCTTTCCTGTGCAAGCACACACTGTGTCTAATCAGAGGTTTCTGGCTTCTTCATGCTCCCATGCTGTCAGTGCTCATCTGCAGATGCAGGCTCGGCAGGGTTTGCCAGCAGGCTACAGGGCATCTCTGAGGCTCTTCCTTTGGCTGATACACTTCCTTTGTAGATAGTTCACTACCTGAAGGATGAGGCAGCATTCGTACACCAAACGAGGCCCAGAGCTTGACCATAGCTGGATGCTACTTACCAG